AAGAAGTGTATCGAGCAGGGTATGGTGCTGCAAGGTGAGTTGAAGAAAGACTCTAACAAGAGTGGCCTGATGACCTACAGCCAGTATAGCCAAAAGGCAGTACTTCGGCAGAGTATTAATCTTGAGCGAAGAACTGCTCGTAGCATTGCTCCCGACTCATTACGTGCCTATTATTTTTTCGTTCGGTTATACCACCGGATTTTCTTGGCAACATATTGAAAACGCTGAATTTTCAGAAAATGTTTAAGTCTTTTAAGCATTTGAAGTACTGTTTGTTAGATGAGAGTTAAATATTTTTTCATTAATCTGTGAACAGTCCAATCTTTTTACTCACTCATTCGTCGGTCAGTTGGCTATTATTTTTTCAATAAAAAATTTCGCGGTTGGACTAGGCTTTACTGGAGTTGACTTGCCTAACCTGCAGCATACCTCAGTCTGTATCAGTGAAAGAATATCTACGGAGTGTAAACCTTTTTCTTAAAAATAAATGGTGTAATTTCTTGAACTTCAGGTTCAGGGACTCAAGGACGAGCATAAAAATAGGCGATTAGATAATAGATGATAAAATGAGGTTTGCACCGCGACCTAGTGGTCTATTGTGCCCCGAAATAGGCCATTAGGCAAAAGCTCAACAATTCGTATACTACATCCTTAGCGAATGAGCTTCGTGCCGATTTATAGTAGAGCTAGATGGATAGATCTGGACCATAAGGCTGGGCCAGTTTAGACACGACCTCGTTAGAAGGCTTAATTGAGCTCTGATTTTCTTCAAGTTTAAGTACCACATCTATTCAGCCAAATTTCATGGAGCTTTACGTACAAGCTTTCTAAAAAGTCTCAACATTTGATGTATGGTTTTCAAATTTCACACTCTGGTTAAGAAAACCTTTTTTCCTACTCTACTTTTAACATCCCACTGACTCCTTTTCCATCTTCCAGCCGTACGCGAGGACCGAATGCCAGGCGGTCGTAACAGTGGCGCCGTCTACAATCTCTACAAGGTGAAGTATAAAAAACACAAAAAGTCCAAGCAGCAACAGCAGCAACAACAACAACAGCAACAACCGCAACAGCAACACATGCATTCACCACACCATCAGTCGCCACTCTCTCCACACCACCAACAACATCTGCTCTCGCCACAACAACATCTGCATCAGCATCAACAACAGCTGGCAGCAGCTGCCGCAGTCGCTGCAGCAGCTCAACATCAGCACTCGAAGCTCTTAAGCGCCACGCTGGGACAGAGCGAGATGAAGTCAATGTTTTTGGGGCCTTCCGTCAAGCAGGAGCACCTACAGCAGCAACAGCAGCAACAACATCATCAGCATTCGAAGCTGCTGAGCGCGACGCTGGGACAGAGCGAAATGAAGTCCATGTTCTTGGGGCCTTCCATCAAGCAGGAGCACCTACAGCAGCAGCAACAACAGCAGCAGTCGGCGCAGCTGCATTCGCCACACCAGCAGCAGCTACTTTCGCCGCACCACACACTGCATGGCTCGCCGCATGGCGCACTGCCGCAACACTCGTCAGCCAGCGCCTTGCACAGTCCACTCTCGCATGGGCCTCCCTCACTGCCGGCACACACTTCCTCCTCATCCTCATCTTCATCGTCGGCATCATCGGGTGGCAGCAGTGGCTCGCAGCAGTCGTCGTCGCATCATGCGCTTCACTCGCCACATCATCCGCTGACGCATGCGCATCACATGCAGTCGAATGCGTCACATACGCCACATTCACAACAACTGCATCAGCAGCAGCAACAACAACAACAACAGCAACACCCGCAGCAACAACA